AGGGACAAAGGAGCTGGGGGGAGGGAAAGCCCAAAAGGGAATTTAAATAGCTAGGCTGCAAGCATTCCCATCTCAATCTGAACACTATTTTTGACCCACCTAAATTGTTTTGTTTAATCCCAAAGAAAACAGTTTACTTTCTAAGCAAGTCGGGAATCATAAAAATCAAAACCACCAAGAATGTCCTTAAAGCTGTGAAAGAAATTTGAATTCCCTTGAGATGATCATGTATACACAGTGGATCTGAGTTATAACATGACTTACATGACATGGATTCAGAGATATTGCTGATCACATTGTGTCTGCGGAAAACAGAACAGAGAGAACAAAAGTGTGACCTAGTGCTGGCTGCCTGGAAGATCCAATAGGGGCATCTTTCCCAGCCTCCCCTGCCCTATCATCTAAGACACAGCAACATTTTGATTTGCAAGTGTCTAGTGAGAATTCGAAAAGCAAAGCAAATGCAGATGCAGATTTTGGGCTCTTTTTTAGTTACTGAGAGAAATGAAGGGTTTAAAAAGCTCAAGGTTTCTCCAGGGCAGGCAGGGGGTCGGGGGCAGTCATTAAATACCTCAGGACTGGACCTGATCCCACAGCCTTTCTAAGTCTGGCTTCCTTGAATGAAAAGAAGGAAGAAAGCCAGATTGGGGCCCCTTCCGGGGGAGTGAGGGGTGTCTTGGCCAGTCTGTAGCAGAGGGTCTGCTTTCCTTCATTAGTGGGCAATAGGTAACAAACACCCCATTTCTGGAATTTCATTGGATAAGTAGACCAAGGACTAGGTTTACATTGTAGATATTGAATCCTGACCTGTGGCTAAAATTTCTAGCTAGAATTTATGGTCATTTCTCTATTCATATGTGGCTTACCCATTTAGTGGGGGTGGGGTTTTTTTGCAATTATGTTTTAATCAAAGAATAACTTCTGAGGTATCTACCCCAGAGGGTGGTTAGGAAAGACCAATTTTTTAAAATTGATTAGAGAGAGAGAGAGGGAGAGGGAGAGAGAGAACATCAGTGTGAGAGAAAAACAGGAATCTGTTGATTCCCATGCGCACCCAGAACAAGGATGGAATCCACAACCTGGGTATGGGCCCTAATGGAGAATCAAACCTGAGACCCTTCCATGCATGACAACACTCCAACCAATTGAGCCACACTGGCCAGGGCAGGAAAGATCAATTTTAATATTGGCCAGAGAAGAAACTAATTAGGAAGGCAAATCTCCCACCCAAATAGAACACACATGGAATTTTGTTTTTTGATTATGCATTCTTTGTGCTTCTTTCGCCAACTCCTTTATTTCATTGCTATGAATAATCATCATTAGAAGTTCCGCAGAAAATTCAGCCTGCAATTCCTAGGCTATACTGATGGTTCCTTGTACTGAACTCACACAGCACTTGTGGTCAGGGCTTTGGAGTCAGAGCTAGGTTCAAATCTTGGCTCTGGCTAAGTTTAAGAGGTATGATAACTGCATTGGGAGTTTGTGGGAGAATGTTTTTGTTCTTAAGAGATACATGCTGAAGAATTTAGAGGTGAAGTATAGTGTCTGCAATTTTTGCTCAAGTAGGTAAGAAAAATGAGTGTGTGGGGGGTGGAGAGAGATGTGTTGTTCTACTTATTTATGCATTCATTGGTTGATTATTGTATGTACCCTGACCCAGGATTGAAGCCGAAATCTTGGCATATCAAGATGATGCTATAACCAACTGAGCTACCCGGCCAATGCTATACTATGCTTTCAAGTTTCCTGTAGTTTTGAAGTGTTTTCAAAATCAAAAGTTGGAAATAAAATCTTAGCTCCGTCTGCCTTATCAACTGTGTTGTAGTAAATTGTTTACTCCTTGCAAATCTGAGTATCCTTGGCTCTAAAATGGAGATATTAATAGAACCTGTCCCCATAAGGTTGTTATGAGGATTAAAATGAGATAAAGAATGTAATACACTTAGCATGGTGCCTGTCCCTTAGGAAGGCCTCTATAACTGATAGGAATTTTGTTATTATGCCATTGTCATTTAATGTTTGATTAAATACTATCCTTTATTGTTCTCAGGGTGTTCCAAATGCAAATATCCTGTCTCCTTAACTTGGACTTTAAGCTTCTAGAGAGCAAGACACACTTCTTACATTTTTTTTGTACCTACCATGGTATCTGGCTTAGCACTTTGTAAGTCATAGGTAGTGAACAGAATACCTTGTTGAGTTGACATTGAGGTTACTGTTCTGTGTGATCTTTGGTCATAGCACTGACTTGAAAATGATCACATGCCCAAAGGCCAGTGATTATTTATGACAGACAAGTAGAAGGGAATGTTAGCATAGCCTGGTGGGAGATGGGTAAGAAGATAGGACTACAAAAACACCTATTTGGGAAATAGATTTTTTTTTAACTTCTTAAAATTGAAGGTAGATACCTTCATGCACAGCCAGACTTTCAGAAAAAAGTGTCCACTTTTTGTAGATGCCAAGAGGGCATACATTTCATTATTTGGCTTTCAGGATAGGGATGACCTCTACTAAGCAAGTTGGGCATTCCTTAGATGCCAGGACAATAAGGCAGATTTTTAGGATTGCAGGAAACAGCTGCCCCTCCCAACAAAACGGAGAGCGCAAACACTGCAAGTGATACCCCCTCCCCTTGGATAAATGCTTCTGTTGCTTTTGAATGTATTCTGAACTTCCTGACTCTAATTGATGATTCCAGTGAGTCTGAAACATGCAGGATAGGCCCTGGCCCGGTAGCTCAGTTGGTTAGAGCATTGGCCCAATCACCAAAGTTTTGGGTTCAATATCCCCTCACCCGTGGTTAGGGCACATACAAGAATCAACCAATGAATGCATAAATAAGTGGAACAACAAAAATTGATCTCTCTCAAATAAATAAATAAATAATTTTAAAATAATATGCAGGGTAAATTCGAATGAAACACTCAGGACTGACTCAAAAGCCTTGCCAGGACTTTTAAACACGTGGCTCTTAAAAAAAAAAAAAAA